GGGGGGGGCAGGCGCAGCACCCCAGACTGCGTATCTAGGTTGAATCCCCCCCGCCGCCCACTCTCCTCCCTTTCCCTCTGTCCCTCTCTTCCGCAGGTCACCCAGGGGCGGCTGCTGCGCCGCGTTGCCAGGGCAACGCGTCGAATCAATACCAGCGTATGTAGGGTCAGGGCGGCCAATAAATGCACACACTATCTCATAGGGGAAGTTTTTTCTTATTTTCTCATCATGTTAACGGTCGTAAAATATTTCTTTTAAGTTCTTTTTGTGTGTGAGAGTGTGTGTGTGCGGTTTTTTTTTAAGCATTTTGTTAATATTGTATTGTTGTCTTTGAGCATGTTTCTTCGTCTTTGCAGCCCGGAAGCAAGGAAACTCACATCAGCGTGTGAATGAGGTGCCCCAGCATTACAAGGCGGCTGGCTGCAGCGCACACCACCCCCGGGATGCCGACGGGAAGGGTAGGAGGCCACCACCGCCCAGACCCGGTGGGCGCGCGAGAGCGGCGGGAGGGGGTGGGACCAGGCGGGACCGAGGAGGGCGGGGGGCGAGGGGTGCCGACAACAAAAGAGGAGGAGGGGGAGCACATAGAGCTTTATAGAGTAGAGCGACAGCAGACCCGCCGTCTACTGCTGCGACCGAGGGGAAGGGGCGGTATAGGGGCCTACCTGTGTGTACCGCTCCGAGCGGTGCACAGCGCACAGCATGAACACTTGTTCCAACAACAGCAGCAACATATGCAGCCAAAATGATACAGAATGCCACTAGTTTTGTCGTGTAGTTTTAATCAAAACCAACACTAGTAGACTTTTAAAAGATCATTTTTTAATTATTTTTTCTTTCTTACACTGCGGAATCCGGCGGAACCCTATTCTCTCATTTTCGCAAAACACTCTACCAAACTGCTACAGCTACGGGACAGTTAAGGTGTCCACCAGTCGAGGCTCTCGGTCCCTCGCCGCCCACGCGGGATACACACGCTGCTTTGTTGGTCAGGCGACGGCGTACGAGAGCCAGTAGGCCGCGGCGAAGGCGGCGAAGAGCACGGGGTAAGCGAGCCGCGCCACCCGATCGGACCAGGTCAGGCAGAACCACGGCGAGCACGAGGACGAGGGCGGCGAGCACTCCTGGACAAACAGAGCATTAACGAACGGGGAGACCGTCAGAACGAGGGGTCCTTCACTAAAAGAATACAAGCATACACCAATTTTTCTTGATATTTTTAAAAATGATTTTTCTGATTTTAGTCTTGATTTTTGGCCGGAGGTGTAGAGTACACTGACATTCCCTAGAGAAGGACCCCACCGGCCGGCGGCAGCTCGAGCTTCGCTCACCAGGACGGCGATGCGGTCCCGCGAGGCCTCGTGCTGCAGCGACTCGTAGAAGGCGGTGGACTGATCGCTGGGCACCTCGTTGGCGAGGGACCACACCACCTTCCAGCCGCGGCCCTGCGCGAACAAAACACGCGGGCGTACTCCGAGTGTACTCCGAGTGTACTCCGAGTGTACTCCGAGTGTACTCCGTGTACTTTAAGTGTCTCCCAAAAATTTGCGAACCCGCTCACCTCTCCGCGTCGCCGGCCGCGGGCCGGGCGGTAGCCGCACCGGCAGGTGCACTCCAGGACCACGAACTGCACCAGGGCGCAGAAGGCGAACCAGAGGCAGCCGCCCGTCCACACGTCCACGGCCTTGGTGTAGGGCACGGCGGGCAGCGAGGCGTTCACGACTGCGGGCGAGAACAGAACAGCGAGTGAGGGCAGTGCGACGGTCAAGCATTTGGGAGGGGGCGAGTGGGGGGAGGGGAGGGGAGGGCTCGTTCACAGATTTCTGGCCAAGTTCAGCCATGGTTCAGTTCAGCTTCTGCTACGCACGCTCTCATAGCGCCTGATAGGTAGGCAACAACTCGCCTGCACGGCACGCGTGTACTGCGGGCTGGCCTACCCCGAGTCTCGCAGGCGCCCGCGGAGGTATAGCTCACGTCACGCGTCAACGCACCGAATTATGAATCCGAGAGGAAACGAACGGACGTACGCTTTCACGGCGGCGGCTCCTTGCGGGCAGGAGCAGTGGGTTGGAAAACCCACGCCGCAAAATTGAGAGCGTGCAGGAAAGCAGACTGGGGCTCACTTTCCTCGCCAAGGTGCTCGCCGAGGTCCTCGCCGAGGTCCTCACCGAGGTCCTCACCGAGGTCCTCACCGAGGTCCT